TTTCCAACCATCGTCGGCACTATTTTTTCCTAATAGTGGTGGCATTGGCATATTTGGTATGTCGTCGTTTTGACATTAGTGTTGGCGTTGTACTTTTTTATCATGCGATAGATGCTTACTGACTTTTTTCGTGGGCTACACTTTGTTATGGAGTAGCTTGTTACCCACGCCAGCACTAGTCCATCTTTTATTTACCTTTCCCAATCAAAAAATCTTAGTCATTCTGATTCACCCATCTTTTTCACTTCCCCTCTCGACCAGCGGCGCCGCCATCACCTATGGACCTCGCCGCCCGTCGCCACCGGAGGATCATGGCAGCCACCACCTCCAGGTCAGCATGTGAGATCCCATCCTCCCCTGCGCATCTTCTTCCCCTCCCTCGCGCCTCCCTCGTTAGCGGATGCTATGGAATCCGTGGGTTTCGTTTATTCATGTATAAGATTAGTAGTGTATAATTAGATTTAGTAGTGTAGAATCTAATTGTACTTACTAGAATTTGATTTATTAGTGTAGAAACCGATTTTGTATTTAGAGTAGACTTTTTTAGTGTTGAATATGTTTTAGTGTAGAAACGGATGCTGGTCTTTTGTGTTGATTTAGTAGTGTAGAATCCAATTATACTGAGTAGAATTTGATTTATTAATGTAAAAGCCGTTTTTTCTTTTGTGTTGATTTAGTAGTGTTCGATCCGATTATACTTAGTAGAATTTGATGTATTGGTGTAGAAATCGGTTTTATACTTATTAGTGTAGAATTTCTTTTAGTAGTGTCCAATTGATTCTTTTTGTAGATGACGCCACCATCACCATGTCAACTATGCAAGTCATGGAGGGTTATGAGCATTTCAACTGGCGATCTGTTTTTTTTTTGCTATTACCATTAATGTTGTGTGTGTTCTTGTTTTTTGTTACACAGATCATCCCGTGCAATGTGAGGTTTGAATTCAATGAGCTGACCGAAGAAACCTTAGTCTTCGAGGCTCCTGGGGGACCCTACACTTCGGAGGTCGAGAAAGGACTAACGATGACCCAGATAGGAGATGGATGGGATCGTTTCCTCGCCTATAATCGTCTCACTAGGGTGAATTGATCAGCTTCTTCTTCAAAGGACAAAGGCCCGGGGTGGCTATTATCTATCTTAACAAGGATGATAATGATGAGGACCCATTTGACGATGCCATCTTTACCCAAAGAATGAGGTTGAATGATGATGAGACATGCAATCTCTTGGACAACCTTCCATCATGTGATGATTACGTCGGGGTTCCATTCATGATCCGTCTGACAAGGATCAATATTATCGGCCGCCATGTCATGGTACGTTACTTAGTGTAGTAATTTGTTTAGTGTGGAATTTGCTTGATGTGCTTAGTTGTGTAGAATCTGATTGATATGCTTAGTGTAGAATTTGATTGATATACTTAGTGTAGAATCAATCTGATTGATATGCTTACTGTAGAATCCAATGATATGGTTAGTGTAAAATCCGATGATATATGTGAATTGACGTGTATGCTTTTTGATAATTGTGCATGACATGCTCATTTTTCAAACTGTAGAGATTTTTATGTAGAATACGTATGATATGCTTGCAAGAGTATGTGCGAGGCTACTTAATTGACATCGTTGCCATATTTATATAAGTTTTTTTCTTCGAAAATTGCCTACGAGGCTAGTTCTGAGTTGTGGCATTGAAGCTGATGAAGCGGACTATGCTGGAGTATGCCTTACAACAAGGGGCTCCGTCTACACCTATGCGTATGTAGCGGACATGGAAGGTCACATTATCTTAAGCATGATGGGGTGAAAGAACTTCCTCGTTGGCAAGAATCTTTATGTTGGATAAGCCGTCATAGTCACTATCAGAAAAACCAGACACCATGACTTGAGGATGATGATCGTCATCGACATCATTTAAAAGAGTGTGCGCGTTGCGCCATCGATGCTGGTACTAAGTCTTAAGTAAACTAAGTATTAAATATTACTCCTTCCGTTTCTAAATATTTTTCTTTTTGGGATTTCAAATGGACTACCATATACAGATGTATATAGACATATTTTAGAGTGTAGATTCACTCATTTTGCTTCGTATGTAATTACTTGTTGAAATCTCTAGAAAGACAAATATTTAGGAACGGAGGGAGTAGTTTGTAGTGCATGTTGACAAATGACTAATCACTAGCTAGAACTGTTTGTGAGAGCGATGATTGTCAGATATTTTCTCTATATAATTACCTATGTTTAGCCATTGTGCCACTATTGGTCTATATAATTACATGTGTGATCAAGACGCAAAATGCTATATGATGGTGCAAATAAGAAAAATTACTGCAAAAACTGTTGCTCGCATGCGTGTTACATGGGACGCCGCTAGGTGAGAAACAATAGTGCCGGCATGGGACATGCTGCACGCCACAAGAACCTAAATTACTGCTGACGTGGGCACGAACGCCACCACTATTTTTTAACAGTGTCGCCATATTAGTGGCATTGGGCTCCCATGCCAGCAAGCCACTTTTTGCCACGTCATAGCTAGGATTTTCTGCACTAGTGTATGCCTCGCCATGTAGGCGTCGGCGTGCAGCCATGTGGTGTCGTCGAAGCTCGAGCTAGAGTCATCCGTCACACCGGAGTCGTCAGAGCACCTTTGGCCTGTCAGCCTCCAGAGTAGGCGGTCCTGCTCCTTCACATGTCGGGCCGCCTTAGCCTTGGTGGCCGCCTACTTGGATGCTTCGCGCTTCGACAACTCGATGGCGAGCCAGAGTGCCTTGGCATTCTTGCGGCGGAGCCGCCGCACATCCATCTTGGCCATCGTGAGGGAGCGACGGAGGACCGACACGAGGAGCGCGTCCTCGAGATCCATCGCTCGCTGTCGCTCGTGGCGGGCTGGCCGTGCCTCAGATTCGACGTCCTCGTTCGCGCTGGCACCGGCACGGGCACGAGGACCCGTCAGGAGCAGATTGAACTTGCGGTGGTGGGCGGCATACCTGGACAGGCACGGAGCGGCCGGAGCTGCGCGACGAGCGCGAGGGCCCAAAAATTACCCGACGACAGATGCTATGGAAGAGGTGCTACCTTTACCGCCTTTGTCGAGCCGCGACCACCTCAAAGCCGCTGCCTCCTATGGTTCGGCCCAACCAAGAGGTGGAGCCCTCCAAGGACTCCCCTTCGCTTTGCCCCCCAAGCAAACCCTATGGGGCAGGACCAGTTCGCCCATGTGGGTCTTGTTCCTAGGGGGCAGCCCACTAGGACCCTTACATAACGTTCTGGGAGGTTCTGGGGCCTTCTGGTGGCTTTAGGGCCTTCGAGTACATTATCAGGCACTTCCAGGACACTCCCAACGCTACGGGGACACTTCCAGGACCTCAAGGAAAACTTTTAGATCTCATTCTCTCATTCTCCATTGTCTTCTAGCTCTCTTTCATAACACTAGTCGTTAAACATGTGACCTTACATGTTTGCTAATATGCGGACATGTCGGAAACACCTTTCGGTCAATAATTATTAGCAGGGTTTGAACACCCATAATAATTCCCGCATGCCAACGAAGATATTTATCAAGGGAACCTTTTGTTATAGCATATAATTTCCTTTACTTGACGATACTTTACAAAAATCTAGGAGAGACTTTTACGGTATATCTATGAGCAACAGTTCAATCACAATACCTAGTTGTCCTTTGTTACTGGTTTGTACGCTTTTCTCGTTACCGTATTCCAATGTCCTTGTGACTAAAACCTTAGCCACTACTTGGCCAAGCGATGATGGACATCGCAAGACTGATTGGGCCCAGAGTGTACCTCTTCATCGCTAGAGGAGCAAATCTCAGTCCTGACATATCAAATACTCTAAGTACACAAGTGAAAGCTAACTCTTTGTACTACGAAAATACCGACAACATATTGACAAAGTGATTTCGTAATATTTCATAACTTGGGTTTATGCAGCACCATTGTTACCCTAGTCATGTGTTCTCATTATTATCATCATCATTATTACAGTTACATTGCCATGGTTACAGATTACAGTAACATTGTCATGGTTAGGAAAACGGAATCATCAACAATACATGAGTTAGTCTAGAGGCCAGACTAGGGATCTGATTGGTGTTTATCTTTCCACATGCAAATAGGTTTCTCTTCAAATCTCACATTCAAGAACCATTGCAATTATAGCACAGAAATATAAACTTAATTGTGAACAAGAAAATAGCATAATAATAATTCTATTATTGATTTTAGGGCATATTTTCAACAATGACCCCATGGCAAGTCTCCTACAACCGAGTGGGATATTATTCATGGGAAAAGTGGATGAAAACATAGGAATAAGAAATTTTCCTATGGGATATTATTCATCCATTTGATTCAAAGGAAGTGTCCATAGGAAAATGTAGTATTTTTCTCCTTTAGATTGAGTTTCATAGGTAAAAACAAAGGAATTTTACAATCCACTCAAATATTCTTTTTTTTTTACATTCCTATGCACAAAGAACAAGGCAAAGACCATAAGTAGCATATTAACTCAATCTTTGCATATGTTTTAACATTAATTTGACCATGCCCCAAGCCCTTCAAATTCTGACGCGTAAAAAGCACGACATCCACCGAAAATAGTTGTCAAACGGAATCGCAACACCAAAGAGAGATAGTTGAGCGCCATGTAAAAATAACAATGGACGATCCATGTACATTGCAAGTTTGTAACTGTACAAGACAAGATTTATTTTAGTTAAAATCATGTTTACATTTTCAACTGGCCGTTTACATCACAGCCTGTGCGACGTCAAACACCACTTCTTTACAGGCCATCAAATATCATAGATACAAGCTGACAATGAAGATGTATGAAAGAAGGCTATACAGCTAGACTAACCTGTAATTCTGTTTTACGAGTTCATCACTCGTTCGAGGTCAGCTTATTCTTTTTCTTTGTGCAGGTATGACTGAGTAGTACCAAACATGCCTGGTTGCACTGTAAGTGCTGCAGATGGCACAGCAGTCAGTTTTCCGCGTACTCGAGTATCGCGCCTGTATGATTGAAGCCACATGATACATGAACAGCTCTTGCATTCTTGCCAAGTTCTACCATCATCGGCTCGCAATAGTCGACGTCGTTTCCATGCCCCTGCAAAGCAGGCACTGGTCAGCAGAATCAGGTGAAACGAGCAGTGTTACCATGATGATATGTAGAATTATTGTTACGATACGACATGATTTGATGGAAATTGTGCAAGCAGGTATAAAGATGCTGAATGTCGGCATCAAGTACTAATAAATTGTTGTAGTGGCAGCAAGCAACTCACTAATTGCCCGCCAGAAGAATGGCCCTCTTCGAAGAAGGTACCGTTCGCACCTCCCCAGCCCCACGTGTAGATATCTTCACCTGGATGTTTTGAGATGTTCTGAGTATCACAGGCAATGTGGCAACAGAAGAGAAAAGACAACCCATAAAATCTTATTTAAAGATAGCACGGCAACTTTTCTCAGGTACTACCTCCTTTCCTAAATATATGACGTCTTGACAGTTTAATTTAAACTGCCAAAACGTCTTATATTTAGAAACAGAGGGTGCATATCATAAGAATAGAAGAGCACCATTCTTTCTTTAGACTGGGTGCAACTGGTTTCAAGTCCTCACGGGTGTGAATTTGGGTTCTTATTATAAAATAAAAAAGTAGGGCCTTTCCCTGCCGCTTTCCTTTCCAAAAAAGAAATACATATGTTGTTCATTCAAATGGACATAGAAAATGGGCTGGAAAGTCAGGCAGATGTAATGAAACAATAATAGCCCTTTACTATTGCGATTTTGTGTCTCTCTGAATTGTGTGTACAACTAGTTAAGTCGAGCCATGTGTATGTACCCTGCATTTTATATTACTGTGACATGATATCCTCAACTCAATACCCAGTGCAAGTTAGAACTGTCGTTCTATTTTGTTTTTGCTATACATAATTGAGAGATACAATTGTCTAACCAAGGGAATTCCATGAAAATAAGTTGTGTAATGAGACCTATTTATGGACACCCTTTGTCAAGATACAAGTATTTGCTTCATAACATAATTTGCTAGTACTACTAATTAGAACTTAGAACCCAGCATAAAATAGAAATGATGAAACAATTTGATACCTGAAATTACAGCTGTGTGCTTCCAACCACAGGATACCTGCAAAAGGTAGACGGTGAAGGTTCGCCAGAAATCAAGAAACATATTTTCCTTTTTGCGAGGGGAGAAATGAATTGTCTTTTCTTTGCAAGGAAAGAAATGAGCAGCCTTTTTTTTGCAAGGGAAGAAACATTGCAGTATAAATAAAAAATTGAACAATGACTAGACATACTGCATACCAACCTTAGATACAGGAAGCTTAAATAATGAACTTCTTACAACTTCTGGGAAGCGAACCATGCCTGTACCTCTGGGAAGCGATACTATGTAAGTCAGCAATCCCAGAGTTTGATACAAATGTAAACTTCTAGAAGCAGTAGTAGATGGAAGTACCCAAGACCAAGGCAGCCATTTTCATTTGAACCCCAAGAATACAAATCTCCACGATCTGCAAAATATCACGGGTATCCATGTCACCATTTTCAGATCCTTGGAACAGTTGAATAAAACTGATAGTTGTCACTGATAAATTGTAAAAATATAACACCATCCAAGCTATGTCCCTTGCCAAGAGATAGAAATATTTGCTTAGCAATTCACTAATTATGCTAGTAAAATGAGCATTAAGGATTAAGCTACAAAATTGAAGAGAGTTAAAAGGGCAGACTCCACAATGAAAATCTATTAGAAATTTCATGTAAAATATGCACTATGAAGTACATAAAGATTTAACAATGTGCAAGCCCACAATTTGTTCAATTTGAACTGCTTCAGTTGATCATTCGAGAAAATAGAGGGACAGTTTGTAAAACTAAAGCTGCATAATCCTTTAAAGTGCATAAGGTGCTATTGACGAAAACCCATATATGCCAAGTTTATACTGTACATGTTATGGTTGTGGGTTCACAGCGGAACAGGACATAGGGCATATCCGTGAGGGCATTGGATAGGTTATGTTATCGATAGAAAGGTTAAGAAAAGACTAGTTAAATTAGGAACAGTCCAATTTAACTAGGAAGATAAGGGTCACGGTTTGATCTTGAGTGTCTTGTATGAATTGAGATCTGATTTGTGGATCAAAGTTAGTCGCTTTACTTATGGACTAGCATGTAACAAACTTAATGAAGCAATAAGAGAATAGTTTATCAATCAGTTATCTCCCTCATTTCCTCCTGTCCCAACCTGAGTTCTGCTCAATCCCCCATTCCATGCCGTCCGGCCATCTTCATGGCGGTAGTTACCCAGTTTGTTCCAGTCCAGCACCACATCTAGGACAAACCATGGCTGATCAGATATGTTGTCAGTCTGCACGGCTTCACCAGGTGCAATATAGAGATGAAGATATTTTGACCTGAGATCCTAGTCCCCCAAAAAGGGTTATGTATATCAGTATCAGTGTATAACTATTCCTGAAATTTGTTTTCTTTATTTGGAGACCGTATCTTAAGGACAGGCCTCGTGCAGTGGTGAAGTACTCCCCACTTGTGCCAAGAGGTCCTGGGTTCGACACGGCCTCCCTGCATTGCACTGTGCAGGAGTAAGGCTTGCCTCATACGATCTTCCCTAGACCCCACCTGGTGTTGGAGCTTCTAGAACTGGGTTTGTCCTTTATTTGGAGACCGAATCTATTCCACAAGAAATATATGCAAATGCATATGACCAAAGTTTTTATCTAATTCAATCTAACAAATTACTGCCAACAACAGAAATCAGTGCTCCTCTTTTGATTTCTGCATGCACAACTGATACCTGTTACAGCGCAAGTATGATAACCTCCACAAGCAACTTCTTCTGAAAATTGTATCTCTTCAACAACACTTGGTCTAGGTGCATCATTTGATCTTCCAAGTACCTGTAATTTTGGGTTAAATACAGGGAAAATCCCAGGAAGCAGATTTATGGCCAATGAAAACAGTAAAAAAATGTCCCAAGAGGCCTGATTGGATACCACCTTCTCAGTCTTCTGCCCAAACATGAACACAGTACCTTTTTCTGCAATTTTTATGCAAGGAGAACATAAGATGGAGAAATCATGATCAGCAGTTGACTAGTGTACTACTTTAAACAATTTTTCCATGAGCTTACCATCAATGCAAGCTGAGTGCAGCATTCCCGCAGCTATCCTTTTAATCTATTCAATGTAACGACATGAACAATGAGAAGGGGGTCATTATTTGATCAGGACACAGTGAAACTTAAAAGCAAAATACCTTGATACCATCAAGGTTTTTTATCAACCTTGGAGTATATTCACTGCACAGATGAAGATCAGATTATCAATAATCCTTCCAGACAAATATAGCTTTAGCATAGTGCAAACAAATCTAAACCATCAAACATGTTTTACAGTAAAATATCCAACATAATACCACACAGATATTTTCTCAAGCTCATACTGCATCATCTTGGAACTAGGAACTTCGGCAATTAAGTTTGTGACATGTGAATTTGTTATGAGATGAACATTATCTTTTAAGTCCATAAGTGCCAGCTTCTGATAGAGAATTTTGCATTCTTAAGGTTAAGGTGTTACTATGTCCATATTTTCCAAATAAATGAAAACATGAGCTATCCCAGAAGATAGAATGGTGTGCCCACAATAAGTGCTCTGCAAAAACTTGTGATCTTACTTTGAGGTCATAGTGAATCCCAGGAAGCTAGATTTATGGCCATGTCCAAGTCTACCAGCACCAGCAGCTCCCCAACTCAAGGCTTCACCATCCTCTTAAGAAGAAAATAACAGGGGGATTTCAGACGCTCAAAAGCAGTAATATTCAAGTTATTACTATAACACAAATACATAGCACATTCACCTGTAACAACAATTGAGTGCTCTGATCCCAAAGCAGTCATTTTCACTCTAACATCAGCCAAGTAGTCAACCTTTCTTGGGGTAGAGACTACTTTTCCTGCACCTAAACCAAGTAGGAAGGGCTCTTTAATTCAGAATTTTAAGCTGATGACAAATGTTCATCTTAATAGCAAGATTATTGATGAAAGAAACAACAGACTATCATACCCAGTAAATCTTAACAGAAGCATGAGGATGCTACAGGTGATGATGGAAAGACTGGTAGGACAAACTGGAGCTTAAGTGCTCAAGTAATATGTACAAGTCGATCTTAGACATAAATGTTTCAGATATTTTTTTTCTTTTGAGGGAAACTGATGTTCCAGATTTTAGTTGGATCAAATGACCCCACACCCATCAGTGTAAAACAAGACACTGTTGATAACGCCAAATTGTTAAACCAATCCAAACATTCAATTATCACATATTGCATTAAGTGGGGGTTCAACCATGGATGATGCTAAGAGTGTAAAGAAAAAAGATAATATTATTACTTTTGCCAAGGCCAAGCTGGCCACTCGAATTTTTGCCCCAAACGAAGAGCTCACCATACGCTGTTGAAAAGAGATAGCACAAAAGCTTATTAATAAGAATTGATTTCACAACAATTCTGATGTACATCATAAATAATAAATAAATTTGTTAAAAAATGAATACTTCCTCCAGTTCTCGAAAAGACACTGGCATGGTGGCCAAACTAGAGCTTTGGTTACTATTTTCTATTGTAATATATTTACAAAACCCAACAAAAAGTTATATGCTATCAGTAATTTTCAAGACAAATTGTTGCATATGATTTTTAAGTATCTTGTCTGAATAACTTAAAAGACATTGATAATAAAAGTTTGAAAGTTACCAAATGGCAGCTTCTAGTGAACAGGAGGGAGTAGAAGATTTCGAGCTCATAACGTTTACAGTTTGTATAGTAGTCTCAAGTATCAGTGAAATGCTGATTAACTTGTGAAGAAACATGTTGTGTGGTGCACTGCAGTACTCAATCATCAATACTAAATAATAATCTTATATAATTCTACACAACTTATGAAGGTACTACGAGAATTAAGATGTTTCAACAGCATGGATGGACAGTTTAGGTCCAGGTAAAGTGCACAATTCCAGATATCTATCCTTTCTTATGAAAATGAAGCCCAATTAGTGCATATTTCTGTTGCATATTTATAGTTGCCTGTCTCATTTGTTTATATATGGATATATAGTACTGAGCCACAGAGGGTCCACTAATATTTACAATGAGCTTCTACTGCAATGTAATGTTGAAGACCTAGAGTATATTGTGTACGCCACACAGAAACAAGGAGCTCGAAATTACTTGATCACTAGCATAATGCCCGTGCGTAGCTACGAAGCCATAAAGAAGATGAGGAATTAGCCCACCGGCTTAGTAATCACCAAAAGACGTTGGTGTCCGACGGCCATTGTGAGGTTCACGATTATAAGAAAGCAAAAATACCATGAGGGGTCATGCGGCCGGCGTTGGAGAATCTTAAACGGCCATAGTAGGTCCTTTGAAGATTTAAAGTGAGACAACATTTTGAATTTGAAACACATGATGTGCATTAGTAAGTTGACTGCACAAGGTCGACGATCAGGTAAGAGGACGAGGTCTATCATCGGGGTTGGAATTATTATTTGTTCGCTGTCCTATGCTATGATATAGAACTAGAAAAATTGGTTGGGAAGGAAAACTAAAACCAAGAGCATGATTTTCAGGTGGAGTCTCACATGAAAGTAGTAGACCGTAGCATATTTACTTATTTGTGCTGGGTGCCTGGGTCCCACATGTGAGTTAAAAGTACATTCCTATATATACGTCTTTTGAAGGTTGCTAGTCCACACAAGGGCAGGAGTGCATTTGCTTATTTGTGAAGGTTGTTGATCCCATATGTGAACTCACCACCAACTCCAACCTTTATAAGTAGGGTAAGATACTTGGCAATTTGTTAGTAAAGGTTGATCAATCAGCCACATACTCCATACATCTGGGTTTATAAAGACCATTATCGTTGTCCTAAAAAATCAGCATCTATACTACCAAATCAATATCCCTAGATATATCATGAACTATGTTTTCATAATGTATTGATTGAGTATTGTATATATTGTATTATTTTTTTGTATAAACTTGGTCAAACTTTAACAAGTTCAACTTAAGAAAAGATTAATAGGCCTTACATACCCGGATGTAGGGCTTTAGGCACATAACATAATTTAAAAAAAAACTTAATTAATGGACAGCTCGCTCCATCTTATTTATTTATCAGAAATGCTAAAAATATGACGTCAGATTTTTAAGCATGGCAAATCTGATGTCCGGGAAGGCAAATTATGTTGTCACGAGCATGGCAATTTCCTTTAGCGGGCATGGCAAGATTTGCCATGCTTAAAAATCTGAGTCAGATTTGTAGAGAAATCCTTATTTGTTAGGACACTACAACTGGGTGCTCTAGGAACTCCATCAGGCATCCATGCCCCTAGCCGTCAGATTTTCCATACTAACAATAATACAACAGGTGGTGTTGCTGTTTCCAGTGTTCTCTTCTCAATATATACATTAACCTTCTTCTGGTAAAGCGTAAAGCAAACCTAGGCACGTAACTGCACCTTACTTTTTTCGCTCACCTGTTACTGCACAAGAATGATGGTTGCCAGCTGAAATTTGTACAATTTCCTCCTGAAATCCAGAGACTTCAACAGGGTCCTACATGTAAAAGAAGAACTTACTTGTCATTGGAAGAACACAGATGCGTGGACTAATGACCTACAAGGGTAAATAATAAAAAACAGGCAAGAGAACCTCAAATAAGAACTGTAACATACATAAATTGTATGTCAATAGATGCCATAAATTCATGGATTGGAGATTCAATCTGCTTAATTCTTAAGCGGGAGGAATCAAACATCTGGTGTAAAAAATTATACTGACATTGAAATATTTATATAGCTATTCACTTTCATGCATATCTGTATCTCCGGTACACATAAAAATATTCCATACAGCAGACTTGGTTTCGCAAAGAGAACAGAACAGACACTGATTTAATTTGTCTCAGCTAGTATTTCTGAAGCGTCTGGCTTTGAATTAATGTGCCGAAGTTTCTTTGATTGACAGTGTAGACACAAACATAGGGAGGTATGACGGACAAGAACCAGTACCAGAGTATGAGGCATCGAGGAGCCTATCCCGAGCTGCCCAAAGTCGTTCAGCCCCGTAGCAAACACGCGCCCACCCTCTGAAGAAAACGGCAGGTCAGAATCTCTCGGAATCCTTTACATTGCGATGTCAGAAAGGAGGAAACGGGTAGGGTGAGGGGAGCGTACCGGTGAGGAAGAGGGTGTGGGCGCCGCCGCAGGCGAGCGAGGTAGGCGGGTCGGCGGGGCGCGTGAGGAAGAAGGGGCACGCCGTGGGGCTCCACCGCGACTCCAGCGCCCCCAGCCCCAGCCGGCCGTGGTCCCCGTTCCCCCAAAGCGCCGCCACCCGACGCCGCGCCGGATTGCCCGAATCGGCGCCCACTGCCGCCGTGTCGGACGAGAACCATCGGGGCCGCGGCCACCGCCTCGCCCGCCACATCGCCGTTCCGCGTTGGAGCTCTGGAGTGGTCGCGTCGCTCGCGGTGTCGGATAGTCCACGTCGGCGACCTGATTATCTCCTCCTAGCATAGTTTACAAGAAACGAACTGTCGTTGGTTCAGGCTTTTACCGGTGAGCAGATGCCGGTGAGACGTCCGGTTCATCAGTTCATTTACGAAAAAACGAACATTTATTTATTTTTCAATAGGCAACTGCCCATGCGTTGCTCTTTTTTTTTTTTTGCGGGTGAACTGCTCATGCGTTGCTCTTTTTTTTTGCGGGTGAACTGCTCATGCGTTGCTACTGGTGTAAAACTATTTTGGTTCTTACGCACTTTTTTTTGCGAGAATAGTTGTTGCATACTAATTGTGCAAGTGTGTACCTTCAGAATCCGCACGCATAAATCATGCTTTGATTTTTCAAGAAAACATTGTCGACTTATTTTTACCTCAAAAGTCCATCTTCTTCCTCCATTCGCTATCTGTCTCCACAATCCAAACATCCACCGTTAAAAAGGGTTTGGCCAGAAAATATTGAGCGGGTGTGGGTTTGGGCATGCTTACTCATACCCATACCCTGCGGGTGCCATGTTGAAAGAAACTTGCAGTAAAGTGTTTTCTACTCGTATTAAATGACCTATCGAATCCAATGTTAATGGGTCCTCTCGACTAAGGTGTGCTATGTCAATTAAAAAATATACTTGTTTTGTCCATGGCAATTATCAAAGGTAAACTGATTTACAAATGTAAGTTAATCTAAAGATTATGTCGTGTTCTCAACTTCTCTTCTTTCTCTTTCTTTCCTTTGCTCCGTTGAGTCCCTTCTTGAAAATCACAATGAGTAGCAAGAAAAAGATTAGTACTATATTGGAGAAGCTTATCTTAAGAGAAATTTTATACAAGTCAAAATTTAGTAGCTTGAGAAAACTTGCAATCGATATAAAAGACTGTGATTTCTGCATAAGAACAATACAAATTATAAATTTTCTTAAATAACTGACGAGGAACACTTTTATTGTATCTCAATGCCGGATGTAAGTTTAAAAAAGTGGCAACGAATAGAAAAAAGGTTGATCACTTCATGAACTGAAAGCTCTAAGCGCAATATATCCTTTCTCAATATATCATAATAATTCCAGCGCTCATCTCCTAAATTCTCAAGAAAGCATTTTCTCCTAAAGAAAAATTGGTGAAGAATTTCATACTACAAGTGAATTAGAGAATAGATGAAAGTATCATACAAGGATTACATGTGTGTTTTTAATCGACAAAACCAACTCTAGATGGTTTATGCCTGCAGCTGCTCCTTCGATGCCAGCAGCAGGCTAACACATTTACCTTCTTTTGGTTTCTCTTATTCATTTGATGTTATGTATATCAAAGACCCCATGTTCAAAAAACACACATAACCAAAAAACCACATGTCCGAGCAAAGAGAGGACAGAGAATGATCAGTACAAAATACATGCATAGGCTTGGCATACAATAGGAAACTGAATGCAAAGTACTGTTTGCAGGGGCATGAAAAGGCTACTAATTTAGCTGTGACATATCTCAAATAGCTTTGCTGGTACATCCGTACAAGCCCTAAAATAAAGCAGAATGCTTGCAATTTTGAGCATACAACCAAATTACAACAATTCAGTATCATTATCATAATATAGTTGTGTGGTTAGTTCAATCAGCCATTCAGTATCATTATGTATTTATGTATTATTGAAGGTGGTAGTACATACAAATTTCCTTTGTAAAATTCTGAATATCTGCACTATTGGTCATCCATTGGTTCTGTAAACAAGGTAGTATTTCCTGCATGCAATAGCAGCTGGTTCCCATGAACTTCTGGATTGTTCTAAAAGCCTCTTTGTGCTTCCTCTACATAATTCAACGGGAGAACAACAATTAAAATAAAAAGGCACAGAGAAAAAAAGGAAAAGCATGTCTTCTGGCCACGGAAGAAAGTGGACGGTGCTAGGAGAGCTCCGGCAGAAGATTAAGATTTTTGCTAGCCCGGGGAGAAAAACGGAGATGTGATGGGGCTGCTGGCAGAGGTCGTTGTCGGATTGAGGGGGTTAGGTTTGAGGGAGGTGAGGTGGAGTGATGCAGTGCTCACACGCGCGCTGCTTAAGGGCTCGCAGCGCACACTAACTTGGACCCCAGCAGCCATGGCCTGGCCTCTGTTAAGAGGAAGTCACAAAGTTGATGCTCGTGTTGTAGTCAGCCGTACGTGGTTCAATCAGGGGATGACTGAAAGGAGAGCCGCGATCTCGATCTGGCCAGCCTCGGTGGTGCTCGGCGGATCCTGTGCGGTTGTGGATTCCCTCAGATCAGGGTCTCCATCGTCGATCTAGGAAGGATCGCATGTTGGGCCTGGATGGTTGCGCCCTGTGCCGGGAGCTGGTGGTGGTGTTTGGCGGGGGCCTGCATAGCGAGGCGATAGGAATGGCGTAGGGGCGAGGCCGCGGATGGGGAACCTACCCGGATAGGGAGGAAGTCGATCTATCGTGTACTCTCTCCGTTCGGAATTACTTGTCTTGGAAATGGATGTATCAGTCTAGATACATCCATTTCCAAGACAAGTAATTCCGAATGGAGGGAGTAGCTCACAAGATCGGAAGAGGAGAGGGAGGGCGACGCCGGGTCGGTGGCGGCGACCATGGAGTTAATTGCATGTTGGTACCACACTTCAGCACCTACTCACGGGTTGGTACCACTACTCAAAAGTTTTTGCAGTTCAGTATCAACTCAGGGCCTAAGTGATGCATAACGGGCTAAGCTACATATAAACGCATATTGACAGCGTATCCGACAGGTCGGGCCCACCTGTCAGGCGACACGCTGACCGAGTCGACGCGTGGACGGCTCGCTAACTCGGACGAGTCCGACCTAATGGGCTAGGTCGAATCGAGCCGCCGGTTCGAACCCTAACTCTCGTTCCCCTCTCCCTCTCCTCCCCGCTCTCCTCACTGGCAATGGCGATGGCAAATCCGGGCGGTGGTGGTGTCTGCGGCGGCTCGAGCAGCGGTGGCGATGTGGGTGGGTACGGAGATCTTCCTAGCCTCAGGGCCGATGCACACGCAGGACTGGCCAAGGGCGACGGTGACAGTTCGTCGTACTACTCGAGCGGCGAGGAAGAAATGGAGGAGGCCCCGCTAACCATGGAGCAGCGCCTGCGGATGGCAGAGATATGGGTCGCCAACCCTTCCACGAGCCATCACTGGACCCATGGATGTGGTGGAGTGTTGTAAGTCCTCCTCCCTCTCCTCTCTTCTTTCTTCCAATTTGGGGCTAGGGTTAGTGTTACTGAAAATGTCCAAATTTGCTGCCACTTGTAGTGTGGATGATGCTATCTGGGATGTTAGGATTCACTTTGATGCCCAACATAATTTGGATAGGAAGATATGCAGTTCTGATGTCACTTTTCTGAATTTGTATGCACTATTGCATACACAAGGATTTACATTCTCTGATGAATTGTATCACATGGAGAACACATGCATAGGAGAGAAAAGAGAGCATGGCCTAGACTTGATTGACACAAACATTAAATTACATCAACTTAAGAAGCAGCACGAGCATACTTTAGTTCTGAACCTGTTAGTTAGAGCAACAGTCACTGACAGTGCTGCAAGTCATAGAAATGCTGAACTACAAACCATTATTTATGCACCACCAGTTGTGTATATCTCGGTGAGCCAGATGTGCTTGATGTCGATGACCAAGGGGTTGTTTTTCATAGTCAGTGCAGCAGCAGTACCAATGTTGAAGCTACTCGTTTTTGCACACAAGAGAGCAAAAAACTAGGTAAACAAAAGCTGAAAGCTGTGATGGAGGATGAAATTTTGTTGGAGGAGGGATATTACAGTAGTGATAATTCAGAAGGGGCATATGATAGTGACAACTACATGGAGAAGTACAAGATTTGTCAAGACACAGAGATAATAGATGGAAAGAGACAAGCAGATGAGGAACAACTAGCAGATGATGAAGATGAATATTCAGATGATGAGTCAGAAGAGGAGGAACAACTGCATTATGAGGGTGACACTGAGGTTGGGGATCTGTTTGAGATGGAGGAGAGGGAGGAGGAAGAGAGGGGGATGAAGAGAGGGATGAGAGTGTGAATGTGGAGGTAGCTCAACAATTGCAGGTAGAACCTCCAAGGAAGAGGCAGAAGCTGCCAGTTAGGAGGTGCCCAACCACTAGAACACATTCTAGTGTTTTAAAGGAGGTGAAGCCAGATTTCACTCCTTCATCAGATGAAGAAGAAACTGGTTGGCTGCTGGATAGTGAAGATGATGGGCATGAGCCACTGCAATTTGTCCTAAAGAAATGCAAGAAGAGTAGGACACAAAAAAGAAAACCTAGGATATGGTTCGATGACAAAATGGAGCACCCACACTAGCAATTATGTAAGTACACGTGCTTCACAAATAAACAACAATTCAGAGATGCCCTGTTGAGCTTGCACATTTCACAGTCAAGAGATTTCAGATATCATAGAAACTCTGACCAAAGGATCATTGCATGTTGCTAAAATGAGCATTGTCGGTTCTACATTGTTGCTACTGTGATCAAAGGTGAAAAGACTTTTGCTATAAAAAATGAGGCTGGAGCACACTTTCCCTACCACTACAGAGTCGTCAAGGGTTAGTGCAAAGTGGCTTGCAAAGAACTATGAGTCATTGTTCAGGTCTGATCCAACCACTAGTATACAAACTCTGAGTGATGCCTGCCAGGAGAAGTATGGTGTTGAGGTTCCTAAGCACATGGCCTATAGGGCCAAAAACCTTGTTGTGGAAGCTGTCTTAGGAGAACACAAGAAGCAGTATCCCAGGCTAAGGGACTATGCAGCAACCATCATGCAGACAAACCCTGGAATTAGGGTTGTAGTTACAACTCTAGTTCCTAAAGCAACAAAAAAATACCACATCCAGGGCCAAGGTTTCATGCAATGTTTTTCTTCTTAAATGGAGCAAGGGAGGTATTTCTCAATGGATGC